ATTGGACTTGAAGTGTGAACAAGACGTCTTAGTGATTGAATGCATGCAGGTACGACTGACCCACCGCTCCCCACGTGCCGCCTCATGGTAAGCGCGGTACCCACTGTGCGCAATATTTTAGACAGGGTGCGGCTGATTTATATGTGTTTCAGGGTTGGTCCGGCGCGGGCTCGGGTTAGTTGAGGGTTGTTGTGGGTGTGCTTATGCTGGGTTTGTATAATGGGATGGGGCGGGTGAATATGACGGATGGACAATAGTATGTGTGTTCATGCAAAGTCCTATGTCACATGTTTCTTGTGTTTCGTCGCTGCAGGTTTACGATATGAGCGCGAGCGTGTCCAATCTCCAGTTCCAGGGAAAGGACGGGCTAGGGGATGGGCGTGGGCTCGCATCCCCATTTCGATTCGGCCAAGGTGGGTGCCAAACTGAGCACGAGCAACAATACCGCAGATTGCTGCGTCCGTGTTGGGGCTGTTTGAACCCGCTTGCCTCTGTCACCCTTCCTTCCTGCTTACTGCACTTGAGCTCTCTTGGGGGTCTGTGAAGTTGCTGTGGTTTCTGCGGTGGACATCACCTGCTTCCCTGCCTGACAACAGAGGGCTCTGACTGCTTTGTGCAAAGACAGAGACTGCCGGAAAGGTGCTTTGATGCCTTTTTAAGATATGTGGACTGGTTACCGCGCGCTTGCGTATTCCCTGTCTGGCCCATGTTGATAGGCTACCTATATGAAGCAAACTTTTTGAAGACGATCCTCTGTGCACCACCATGATTCGCATGACATTTTCGTTGGAGTGGGAGATTGTTCATGAAGCCTTAGCGGAAAGCGGAAAGTGAGCATTCCCCACAGCAACCGACATATACATAGTATATATATATATGCATACACAATACTCACATTTTCATTGAATCCCTTGGGTATCGGTTTTGGGTGGGTCTGTCATGAGCCTTTCGCTGAGTGGTGAAAACATGTGCGGGCAACTCACATGTTTGCCTGTTCAACCCAGTTAACATATATATATGACAATTTTACCATATGGTCAAAGAAACCAGCTACAGGTATTTCTACAGGAAATCAGCCAAACACCCAGCAAAGGCAAGGATTCCCCGTAGAATGTCCTGTAGCTGGCTTCTTGGAGATAGCCATAGGATTGATGGTGTAAAATATATAACCTGCAACGCGCAGGCACAGACACGCCAAAACTCAGCGCAGAACATCAAATCCAGGCATGGGCTTCACCGATTCAAATGCCGGACACTTCGTCCCGGGCTTTTGAAGAATCTTACTACAAGAGTAACACACGGACACCTGGTATCAACCCCTGTTTAAACTGTAATGTGTTTGTCAAGTTGTTGAATAGCCTACTTGTGGGAAAACCAGTCCCTGATGGGTTGAACATCCAGCATTATACCAGATCCATATACGCCGACTGCGACCATGACTTCTCGTCTAGTGACTATGTGTAAAAGCAAGGATCACAGGAATACCCTCATCAACTTCTGAACACAGTAACATGAAATGATTCACCAGATGCCAGCCAGTGTATTACGCACATCGAGTAGTGTAAGCCCCAACCTCAGGTGTCATTTGGAGGTCTGTGAAACATGGCTGTCTGTGTGAATTCTAGCGTAAACCGGCCTCAACCGGCCTCATCCGTGGATTGCAAAACCGGCTGGTGAATCAGTATGTTTCACCCAGATGTCAGGGAACTTTGCTCGAAATTAATCAATTTGCCAGCTAATCAGGGGTTTCCAAGCAACTCTAAGCACACTTTCTGGATGCGGTTGCTTACACACGCTTGCTAACAGCGGTCGTTTAAACACGGCCGTCAAAACACCTGGTTGTCCAAACACGTCGTTGTCCAGACACGTCGTTGTCTAAACACGTCGTTTAAAAACGTGGTTGTCTAAGCACGATTCCTGTATTCAGTGGGAAATTTCGAGTTCCTCGCCAAAAGGGGAGCCAGCTGTGACAAGTTGGCATAACTCACCCAGGATGGCTGTGGCTCCTCAAGTTTTCAGCAGCAATCATTCGCTTGCGTTTGTTTCTCGGTCAGATGTTTATTTCCGCCACTCGATGCCAGCTGCCGGTTTCGCCGAGTTGACGCGAAGGATTTGGATGCGGATCATTTGGGCGGCAATCTCACCTGGGACCCTCCGGCACAGCTGGAGCGCGTCTCTGCGTGCCGCAAGATGCGAGTGTTTGGCATCGGCCCTACCACCAACAGTGGGCCAACCAATTGTTTCATGTTCTACAGGTGCCTTCCAGCACCCCCCAATCACTGCGTTTGGGAAGGGGATTTTGGACATTGGGGGAGTGGCATATTCCACAGTGGGGGTTCCTGCCTAAAAGGGCGGGGTACTTAGTAAGTGGTTAGCAAGCCCGGTTATAACCCACAAAAGCCATGGTGATAAGTCTCCGTTCAGTGGGTCATATCCAGGCTTACTAACCACATACTAAGTACCCCGCTCGTTTAGGTACTCTCCACCGTTGCCCCGAAGTGGCCAGGTACGTGGTCTATTTGGCGGAGAGCGCCTTTGGGCTTCACCGCTATTTGCTCGACGAGTTGCCCCCAGACAGCGGCCTGGAAGAGGCGCAGCAGTGCGTTCGCCAGTGCCGCTTCTTGTGATTGAAGCCTTCATGCGGGTGTGTGTGTGTGTGCGTTGCCCGTGTTTTATGGGTGTTTTTTGGATTTACTGCTGGTTTGTCCTATGTTGTTTTTTCATTGTTGTATGGATGGGTGTTTTTTGTTGGAAGGGAGAAAGGGGTCCCTGGGCCGGTTGGTTTGAAGGGAAGCCTAAACTTTTGTTTGTTAACCAGTAGCCCGCAAAGCTGGTGGGCGGCAGCTTCGAGAAACAAGTATTGTACTTATATGTCCTTTCTAATTATCGTGATCTTCATCGTCATTCTCTGTCTCTTTCTCTTTATCTTCTCTTTGTCTTGCTATGTATCTCCGTTCTCTTCCTTTTTCTCGTTCTCGTGTTTGTTCTACCTGCCTATCGATCTATCGATCTACCCATCTATGCCTATCTGCCTATCTACCTATCTATCTATCTATCTATCTATCTATCTATCTATCTATCTATCTATCTATGTCTGGTCTGCTGCTCTGATCTGATCTGATCTATTCTATTTAATCTAAATCTACCTAATCTATCTAGCCTATCTAATCTATCTCATTTGTCTAATCGAATCTAGTTCATCTAATATATCAGTCTATCTATCTTTCTATCTCTTTATCTAGTTCTTATCCAATCTAGTCTAATCCAATCGACTTTACACTAATCTTATGTGATTCACCCCTCCCCATTTTTTGGGTCCCCTATGTTGACTCATACCACATTTCTCGGCTGCTGTTCGGTTGGATCTACCTTTACCTTTTTGCTTGAAGTGATCAACATATTCTCGCATGGGCAATAGCCGTCAAGATTTGCACAGATTATAACAGGCTCACCTATGATGATTGGCCTTGTTCTAGTTCAGTTTTTGGGGATTTGGGGGTATTTGCACTTGGGGCGTGTTTATGATATGGGTTTGTGTCAAAATAAGAGGAAACTCCGAACTATGGCGGTTTCCTTTTTTTTAACCTTTAAACCAAGACGCTCCCTCAACCAAGACGCTTACGCATACAATGTTTGGTCTGCCTTTGCGTTTGCAGCCCAGTATCCGGTTCTAGCAAGGGAACCGTAACCATGGCCCACATATTTTTGCTTATGCGAGGGGCCCATCTCTAGTTTCAGGATAGCTTCAACATCGTCCTTTGAAAGGGCCAATGAGTGAGTTCTTTAGGTGGGTTGACAATCAAAGGGGATATATTGGAATGCTCCGTGGGCTCTGTTGCCCGTTGTTTATATGGTATATGTTCAGAATGTGGCTTTAGCCCGAAAAGAGTTGAGTGTTTATTTGGGAAGGACAATACAGGATCTGTGTGGGAGCCTGTCATGCTATCAGGGCTTCAAGTGGAAGGGGCGCATGATGTTAAGCAAGGGCTAGTTCTGGCTAGCAGAATATGAATTTCTATTGCATGGGTATCCGTGAGCAGTTGACTCACCTCAACATGTGAAATGTTAGAGGAAGTCCCGTGCCACCAAGATGCGACTGTGAGTTGGTTTCATGAGTGTCCCATGCTGAAGCTATTTGTTCTTTTTTTGGCGGAGCACCTTTTGGTTGGTGTTCAAAGGGACATGAAAGGGAACCCAACCATGCTAGGGTCCGGCAAGCAAGAATAAGACAATTAGCCGGCCATTGCGAATGGATATCACGAGAGGTTTGAACGGAGTCAAGCAGCCTCTGTCAGTTATGTACTCGGAGTATTCACCTGGCATGTTCTGTTCCACTGGACTGACACACTTGTGAAAAGTGAGCAACGATCAGCCCGGTGACTGACTTTAGCTCCGTTTGCCTTGAAACCATGAACCTAGAGTTAGTAATCCACTCGCGTGTGAGGTGAGAAACACTTTCCTGTTGTGGCCAATTATCAAAAGGAGCACAGATTCTATTCTGTCCAACCTAAATGCACCATGCCTTTTGGATTGATTCTGATGACATCCTGAAACTTATATGCGCGTTTACTTTGGCACGGCTTTGGGTACGGACTTGCTGTTTGCTTTGGGTTCACTGAAGAAAAAACCGCTTTCTCGTGCCGGATTTGGCCGAGGCAAGTCCTTCAGGCCTGGGCTTTTCGATAGGTGCCGGCGGACACGGAGCGACTGGCCTTCAACCACTTCACGGTGTACACCAAGTCCTTCCTGGCGGCCTCTCGGCAGAACTGCAAGACGATTTGGAAGAATTTGGGCGAAGGTGTCCCTGGTATTTGTCTTTTTGAAGTTAGAGCCACTTGAGTCTGTCTTTTCAATGGAGTTTCTGTGGGAGATGATGTTTAAACAGGAGAGGAGGATGGATGAAAGCCTTATGAGCACTGGAACAACCGCCTACCAACTGGTGGAGGATTGTCCACTCGCAGTAGTAAATCATCAACCCAACACATGATTTGCCCAATGTTCTCTTCAGGACACTTTTCTTTTGGAGGCTATGTGGGAGTCGTTCTGGTGTGTCGGCTTGTTTCAATTACGACTTATACCCAGGACCAATCTACAACAGCCATGGATGTTTGGACATCGGAGAATTGCACGGTGCAGTAGATTCGACCGGTTCAATCCGAGCGATACTTTGGCTCGCTTGTTGGTGTGTTCTTCAACAAGTAGACATAAGTGTGGATTGTTTAAGGGGACCCCCTTACATGGAGGGTTTCCTCTGGTTTCCCTTCAAAGCCGCCACAAAGCAGGTACCCTCAAACAGACACACCCATATATTTTGCAGCAAAGCTGGGGAACCTGGCCCTGAAGCTGAGATAGGCTTCCAAGTAGCCGTTTCTTGGCAGATAAAGGCACGGATCAAAACGGCTTGCTGCAGCAAACGGAAGGAGGGTTCTTTCCAAAGCTTCAGCTTTGTTGATTACCACAACCGACTCCAGACATCCGCCCAGATTCCATGACTGAAAGGCTTCTACGAGAGCCTGGTGATTGCTTGAGCATTTGGAACCAGGGGCAGCAAGTGTCGTTCCTTTGAGATCATCTCAGTTGAAATCATGTTGCCCTGTCAGTAAAACGAAAGGTCAAACGAACGATGCGTTTGCTCTCGCGGGTCCACGGGCAAGCCCTCGGAACTGCGCTGCCCTGTTCCAGGAACAAACCACCCCAGCTGCCCTGGCCTTCTTCGATGAGCCGCCTGACGCAGATGGGTGGATGTGGGAGGGGGCAATCTAAGGCTGAATATAAAAGGTGGTCCTGGGGGGGTGACTGGGTGACCATACACACTTATATATGTATAGAATATATATATATATATTGATATATGTATGCATACACATGCATCTATATAAATATAAATATATATAGAGAGAGACGACCAAGTTACCAAGATGTGAGCCAAACGCGCATTTGTTTGGGCCCACCTTTGGCTGGCTTCCAATAAGTCATGGCTGCACACAAAAGTGGTTTCCCTTTTGGTCGGGGATATAGGCAGCCCAATTTGCGCGGATTTGGCTTGCGACTTGTGGCTTCCTGTTGCTACCCTTTGATTGTTGACCTGCCATTAACTTAGAAGTGTGATGCCAGTGCCAAGGCTCTTTTTTGAGTTTGGGTTGTTCAAAGGCAACCTGCAAGATCCTTACCCTGGTCTAGGCAAGGGTTCCACTTTGTAGTGGTCTGTCAATACAGACTTATGGATTAGGACAGGGGCAGCCAACACTCCACAGTGAGCAGCCCAGATTACTATTACAGTTTCACGGCTGCTGACCATAGTGTCTCCTTTACGATTGGCTGATTCGCTCGTTTTCCCACACTTCTTTTCTGGCACTGCCTTGTTTTGGGCAGCTTCTGGACCTTGAACGACCAGAGGTTTGGTACACAATGTTTGCGAAAGTACTGGCCCACTTCTGGTACGCAAAGTAAGTTATTTTGCTGACATTCTCGGCCCAGGTTTGCCATGGCATCCAACATGAGCTTTACTGACGAAGACTTGGACGAGCATCAGATCGGAGGCAATCTCAGCTGGTATCCGCCAGGCGACCAAAGTGAGGTCACTGCGCCTGAGCTGAAATGATTGTCGTTGCATGTCAAACTCAGTCCTATTTGGTCCATTCAAGCTTATGTGAGACTTCGGCCCAAGAGAAGCAGGTGGGGTACCTTTGGAGCATTCCCTGGGTTTGCGGAAAGCACTGCCTTTGACCTGCGTTGCAAGGCTGCAGGCCACAAATCGTTTGACATCTTGATCAGGTTGTGAAAGCTGCTGTTGGAATGCACAGCTACCAAACCGGCTTGAGCCGTCAAGTCTTTCCCTCACCCGCGACAGCTGCCATTTGGCAAGGACTACCTCATCTACTTGGCAGAGGATGCGTATGGTGCAAATCGGCTCTCTGGCAGCAGATGGGCAGGCCTCTTTTGGGCGTGCCGCTGCATTGATCTCAGTGCGATGTGTAAACCCGTAGAATGCCCACAATGCTGGAGCCGAATCTAAGTTGTTGCCTGGCGAGACAAAAGTGCATGTGTGTGTGTGTGTGAGCTCGTGTTGTCACTGTGCTAAGGTCGCTACTTGGCACTGTGCCGGTGAACACACATGAGCTTAGCATTCCAGCAGAGACTGCCTTGGCTGCCTACACGCACCTGATGCTTGGCTTGATCAGGGGCCAATGGTTGCTTGGACTTGTTTGTCAGAGACTTGCACATTGTTTGGCCTGATTCTTGGGGTGCACTTGTGGTGCAAACAGCTGAATGCTTTATACAGCTACGCTTGAGTTATACAATCACGGAGCGAGGGTCAGCGAGTTTGACAGGTGTTTCTGCTTGTGGCGTTGCCCGTTGGGATGCTTTGGGTGCACAGTTGCAAGGTATTCGGACAATGAAGAAAGTCGCCAAGTCTGACAGCTGGGCAGAATGTTTGCAATGGATCAACTAGATGATCCTGCTTCTGCTAGGTGTCATCATGTGCGTGTGTGGTATATGTTGGTTCACATGTACAAGATAGATGCAAGTACATGTGGCTGCATCAGACAATTTATGCCAACGCACCTGTGTTCTCCGTGAATTGCTCATCCTTTGATGAAGCCTTGTGCATCAAGACGATGCCACTCTTCAACCAACGGACACAAACACACACGAGCGAGGCTGAAAGCATTCCTCCCTTATGCCAGATGGCGGTTTTTCTTGTAGAGTCCCAATTTTAGTGGATGTCATCCACAGGCAACTAGCCATTGTCCTTTTGGTAGGGTAGTTCTCTTGGTTGGAACATGGACTCACTGGGACGGATTGATCCTGCTTCGAAGCGCCGAATCCAAGGACCGTTTTCGCGCGCTCCAGCCTGGCAGAGCAAACCACCCCCATGAGCCTCGTCATCGTGGACTCCATAAGCAGCGTGACGTGGCGCAGTGCGGGAAAAAACTCGGGGGAGCTGAAGTGGGAACTTGGGTGGAAACTACCAGCAAACTGAAACTGAAACTCTTTCTTTTGGAAATCCAGTTATCAATAAGGTTCAACCAAAACTGGGACGAGCCCGAGTTTTGTCAGCTTCCTTATCTTGCCAAGCCTTTTTTTGGCAGCGTGGCTGTACCCCCGGTGGTTTCCCACCGGAGGTTTGGCGATCCATATCGCTGCGCATTTTAGAAAGGCAGGCTATCAATTTTAACAAGCAGCACTGTCAACAAGAATGGTTAGTGGACACAACCCCCGCCCCGTGTAATTGATGTCGATTAAAGAATCTCTAATAGAAAAACATGAATCTCCCGCACCTACCTTGCACTGGGTTTACGACTTGCTTTCCAGGCGGAACCATGTTGTTGCCCCCAAGCCTGCCAACAATGCAGGGGAAGGTGAGATGGTGAGAAATAGTGCCTACAGCTTCACAATCAATAAACCCGAATTGAAAAATAACTTAGCGCCAAAGTCAGGACGGCTCCTCTCTTCTCGGGCAAACGTAGTGATTTCCAGAAAGCTGAGTAGACCCGGAGATGACCCGGAGTACCTAGACCCGGAGATGACCGAATCTTCTCTCTTTTATGAGTCCCTTTTAAAGGTTATGTGGCGTTTCGCCGAGGAAAGCCCGGCTCCTTCTTATGCGGATACATCCCTTGTCTTGAGGTTGGTAGGGATTGTCATCAACCTCGTAGGGACTTTAGACAGGCGAGGTAAGGCTTCCCATGACGAGAACGTAACACGGACCACACAAGGGTGCGTGTTGTTTTGGAGGCTGTCCTTTTCAGCTTGGCTCAGAGCGAAACTGAAAGGAACATTTGTGAGGACACCCCAGTCGGACCATGGCAGCCCATGAGGTCTCCAATGTGACCTTCACAGACTTCGATGTCGATGAGGACGACCTGGGTGGTACTGTGGCCGCTGGGCCCAGAAAGTTTTATCACCGTCTCCCATTGGATCCATGTCCAGTACGTTCCACTCCCCCCAAATCCCTTTTTGCTTGGCGGGGGTTCGGGACTCGGGACCCACCAAAATCGGCAAACCCCTCCCTAAAAAAAGGTAAAGGAAAAGTAAACATTAAATAAACGGTAAATACATGCGGGGGGGGTTTTTGTTCTACCCGTCTCACTGGGCAACTATGGAAGAACACCTGATCTGAGTTGGCGGCTTCAGTGGACGTTCCGTGTCTAGTTTGCGGCTCAGTTCCAGGAGCTCACCGGACCTTTCTGCTCCTTCTGGTTTCCTTTTGTCCGTCTTCCGTGAAAAGCCCAACTCGGGTTCCTCTATTCTGAGACTCATGCAAGAATGTGTTCGCATGATTGTTTGATGTCAGAGGCCAGAGATGCATCCCACGGACTGACTCTAGTCCTTCTCGGAAGAGCCCGGCACTTGTTGCTTGTTTGGTTTTTGGGTGTCCTTCCTCATCTTCTCCGTGGATTGCTTCGGTGGCATGCAGTGGCATGGCTGCTGTCTGCTGCTTCCTTCGATCATGATTTGCAAGCCGTTGAGGTGCTAGCTTGAACATTGGCGCACAAGTTCGTTCCGCGAGGCATTGAATTGATCGCCTGAAGCGCCATGGGAACATGACGCGTGAAGTTTGAAAACTCGTGTCTGCCAAATGCAGCTTAGATAGCGTGAAGTCAGTGGGGTGGCTCGGAGACTGTGAGGACAGGCATGATGCAATTCGTACTGCTACCGCATACAGAAAGTCAAGATCGAGTGTGTTTTGTCGTTAGGCCGGCCTACTTGTGTTTGTGATGGACTCAGAGGTGTCATCTCATCTGAAACAACAGGCTCAACAAGGAACATCTTAGTGGTGCTTGCCTTGATGGATTTATTTGTTTTATTTATATTGCATGTTTGCAATAGTCAGTCAACTCAAGATCAAACGAGTTCTTTCGATTGTACAATGGTTTTGCTTGTCGTGGGGCTGCCCCTGCTGAAACCTTTGGTCTTCAGCTCGGTCACCGGCCTTAGCGCAAAGCGCTTCAGGCGTGGATGCTGCCAAACACGGACGTCGAGCCCCACGGCCTGGTTTAGCTGTCTAGCATGTCTGATGGAACCCGGGTGCCGGAGCTTTGAGGCTTTCCTCTTCTTGGTGGTTTCAATTGGAAACCAAAGAAACCCTACTCATTATTTGCAACATCCAGTTTAAGACACCAACCAAGACCTGGTAGTTGCCTGAAAGAAATGCCTCACCCTGTACTGTATACCAATATGGGCAACCCTAGGAAGCAAACCCTTCGTCATGTGTCTTTGGATATATCTGGTGGATTTTGATAACCCCCAGCTCAAACAACAGAACACCGTCAGCAGTAGTTTTCTCAAAGTCTTAAGCACAAGGCGCTATGTTCGTTCCTACTGCCACGCTGTCTTACCTTGCAAGACCTACCTGCCACTTGACGGGTGCCGCTGTTTGGTCACGTATCTCCCCTGCCGCCACTTAAATGTGATTTTGAGGTCCTCTTGGAGCCTCAGTTCAGCAACCAGTTGTGGGCAGCTTGAGGGCCTCTAATGTCATGGGCCTGTGAAACGTTTTCGTCAGGACCTTGGTGTGCAGCGATCATTCGAAGTAACGAAATGCGGCTTTGTCTATGAATCAGGCAGGAGGGTCGCGTAAACAACCTGTTGAGCAAACTTCAAGCTTGGCAGCACATGTACTTTTCATCCACCGCTTGGGAGCAATAAACACCTTTCATTGAGACAGTTATGGAGATCATAGTGAAGCCGGCTGAACTGCGTCAAGGAAACTATTTGCAGAAACTAGCAGAGCAGCATATTGAAAATCCGTCTGAATTCACGGAACGCTGGTCCGTGGAACTGCTCTCACTGATCGAGGTTGGTGGATGCGTACTTTGTGTACTTCTCGCACAGCCGCCTGCCGAGAATAATCAAGCATCGGGACGATTTGTTTAGGGACGGTTGGGGTGCCTTGAGGGTTGAGCAACAGCTGTTGAGTTTTGAAGCTTCTGAGACGTTCAAGTACAGACTAATTAGTTGGAAGAGTTGGAACCTCGAACGCTGTCCAAGCCTTGCCGCGAGTAGAACTTCTTGTATATCAATCAAGATGGTGGGCTAGAAATGTGGCCTGGGTGATTCAATCCGATTCCCCACATGAGTTGTATGAACCCACAACCGTATGTCGGTTGAAGGCTGCAACGGAATGCTTCCAACAGGCGGGCAACCAGGATATCATGGACTGGGGGGGTTCCCTTATCAACCCCTTGCGAAGCCCTTGTACACTGCTTATCCTTGGCTGAAAGCCCCCCCTGAAGAGATACGTGTTGGTGCTTCTCAAAATTAAGGAACCCTGAAAATGGGAGGTGTCCTTTGGTTTCCCTTCAAAGCGATCCAACAAGCGCAATGGCAGTTGAAGAAACACACTCGTGTGTCAGGAAAGTTTGTTGCTGAAGCGTTTCTTTTGGATCCCAAGAGCTGTCCATAGGCATGCATGAGACGCAGGAAGAAGTGGAAAAGCCCCTAGAAGAGATGAGAGGGCACTTACACTCGGGCTCATGTGTTTGCCTGACCAGGGTGTTGTTGTTTGTTTTTTCCATCTTGTGATTTGTATCACAACAAGCAACGCCCAGACACCATTGCCGATTGGACAATCTGTTTATGCCTTTAGGGGTTGCGATGCCCCTGCCAGGAATGACTCACTGCCAACCACACTTGTTTTGGGCACCTGCTGAGCAGACCCTTATCCGCTGCTACCTGGAAAAAGAGTCATACTTTTGCTTCACCTCATACCTAAAACACCTTTCTTGCCGCCAGGCCAAGAATTACCGCGGCAACTTGAAGCCACCACCACTCTGAGGATGTTACCCGAAGCATTGTCCTGATGACATCTGGATCAGGGCTCCTTCATGGAGACACCAAAAAGAACAGGGGGTAATGTTTCCGTTTAAAATCACCAACCAAACCAACAATTTGGAAACTTACGAATTCTTATGCTGTATTTTACCAGGGATTGCTATTGTCTGCTGCTTGGGATTTCAGAGCAACCCTGGTCAAAGCAGATCGCCGTTTTGTCCCTCACCCTATGAACCATCCTGTTATGGTTTGCTTTAAGGGGATCCCTATAGGAAGCTTCCCAAAGCGCCTGATGCCCTGCGCAGCGGCAAGTCTTCTCAGGTCTCTCGGGCGCAGAGAGGTCCCTGCTGGGTGTGTCGGCCTCGGGCACACATACGATGCCGCCGGACACGGAGCGGCAAGGCTTCACTCACCTGCCGCTCGGTGGCAAGACCCCGAAGGTGAAGATTACCAGTTCAGTGGCACCCTGTTTTATTTGTTGTTGCTTGGTGGGTTCCTGCATCAAATGGTCAACCTCCAAAAAAGGTTCTCCTTTTTCTAATTGCCAGGGTCACGGGGAAACTGGGAGTTTGGGCATCTTGTGTCGGGCAAAGTAAGTCTTCATTTGCGGAGATGCAAAAATGCATGCACGGGCAAGTCTGGCATCACTACTTACGTTATGCAGGTATCTAAACGCATGACTTGTTTGTGTGGTTTCAGTACGAGTACAAGTGCATGCAATTTCATTGTATGCTGTCATAGTGTGACTTGTGCACATTGCTTTCGAGACCTGGATATTTTTGCACATGTTTGAGTATATATTGAAACACAAGGCTTCCATGTGCCTAACATGGGACTTCCAGGCTTCGTAAGAATTTTGTGTGTTTTCAGGTTTTATGCAGTTGATATAGGGAATAAGTGCTTGGGGGATTTCCAAACCACTTGCCGATGGACGGGCTGAACTTTAGCCCTACTGTGGATGGACGAATTGATGCACCACTTTGAAACGGGAAGCCATTATTTGTTGGCATTTACAGGGGGAATCATCATTCCAGGTTCTTCGGCGGTGCAGGATTTCCTTCATCCACAGTATGTGTGTGTGAAAGCATAATCTTGAACCGCATGAGGCCTCAACTTGGTGAAGATGTCGGAAATACCTCAACTTGGGTGGGTATGTCAGTGTCAAAATAGGGGACTCCCAAACAAAAGGGTGGTTATCATTTTGCTTTCCCTTCAAACTAGGCTGAAAGGGGTACCCACGCTCGCATGTCAGAATGAGTTTGGCCCCGCGTGAGGATTTCTTCTTAACTTTCGTGATCATTGATTGCTGGCAGCTAGTGTTGAACTTGATACGTTTTGTCGGGTTGGTGCTTCCCTTTCCAAGCTATCCCTGATGGTTTCCGTCCATACGAATAGGGTGGTGTCAGTTTAGGAACAGCAACAAATGATTCTAACTTAATGATGCGGACTCGGCAACTAGAAACCGCTTGCAAACCACTGGCTGCATTCAGGGGTCCTTATTCCCCCCCTCGTTTGGGACCTTTTAATCGTGTCATTTCGATTGAGATCCACCAGCAAAGTAATTGCAAGTCTTGAACAGTTGGTGAAAGTATGGCACTCCAAGCTTTGGTTTTGCCATCCTCTACTTACATGGGACTTGTGCCGAGTTCCACCCTGGTGTATGTTCTCTGCTATGGAGGGTTTTTTGGATTCCCTTGCTCGAGGCTGGTTTATACCATGTCCTCCTTGGTGGAGCAGCCCCGCGGCCGAACTCGGGGATTTGTGATGAAGCTTTGTGTTCCGTTGCGTCCTCCCGCGTCTTTGGACTTGATATTATTTGGGAAGACCATTTTAGTGAACAAACAACAAGCTTGAACAAATTGTGTGACCAGTCCTCAGAGTGAAGAACGAGTAAAGATGCGCTGGCGCTGTTTCAGGAGAGATATTAGGACCCGCACCCCCAGGACCCCATTTTCGGAGGCTCCTACAAAGCTGCAGGAGATGTTGCTTTTGATGCCTGCAGATCGCAAGATTGCATTGTTCCACCGGAGTTCATGTGAAAGAAGTGATTGGGGCAGCTCGCCTGTGCCTGGCTAGAGGCTCTCTTTTGCATCTCTCATTGACATGGCTGCTAGTCAAAAAGTTGGCTAGACGTTTTTCAGTTATACCAACATCACTTCTTAGAGTCCAGTTGCTGTGCAAATGTGTGAGCTTGAAGAATATGGAGGTTGCTGCAACGACGCGCAACCCACAGTGTCACAGGGACAGATTGTTTGTTCTGTGCGGGGACGGGATGCGGCAAGACACTCATCAAAAAAAGCGTAAACATTGGCAAGATCTAAGAGGGTTTGTCACTTCGGCCCTTTCCTCAGTACAATTCATGTACATTCATGCCAATGTGTTTTGTCAACGTAGCGCGCTGATTATGTTTCTGGCGTGCGAGACTGATCCCTTCAATAGTTATCGTTGTTGAACAACTCATGCGCGACAGGAGTTTGCATGTACCTGGGTTTACTGGACCTTGCGATGTGCGCTCCTGCTCGTGGCTGTCACGCGCTTCCGTGCATTATTTGCATAGTCAATCATATTGATTTGTGCTTCTTTGTATACGGTCACGTTTGGAGACCCACTGGAAGCTGCTCAACGCTTACTTTGGCTCACCAATGGTCTATCAATCGACAACCCAGAAGCTTAGATCTATGTTTCTACGTATAGGGTATCGTAACATGGCCAGGATACATGCTTTGTCCTGTAAAGACCTTGGTCTGTGAATTGAAAATTGGTAGCCTGGGTTTACTCACAGCCCCAGTGTTTCCCTTCCTTCTCTTTTTGGACGGGGTTTCTCTTTGTAGTCAACTGCCAAGAAACGGGTGCCCCATGCTTTTTCCCATAGCTTGCACGACCACGAATCTGGGCTCGCAACCACAAAGAAGGATTGCTGGGTCAACACCAATCACTGGCTGACACGAGGTTAAGGATGGCCAAAAACCTTGTAGGTGTCCGAAAGGGATGCGGGACCTGGGCCAGTGGAGTTTTGATGCGGCGCCTGAGGACGACGCCAGTGGGGGCGGCCATTTCCGACCTGGGCCTAGTCGCGTCTAACCTTAGCTTCTTGGATCATATGAAAGGCGCAACACACGTTGCAACCGGTTTCAGATGATAGGGAGTTGTGGGTCCTTGACCAACGGATGTACGGCTTGAAACGAAACGTTGTGTCAACCGTGCAGGCGGGAAACACCTCAGCTGCGAGCCGCCAGCTCGATCAATGGGTCAGCACGATTGGTTGGCGGCCGTGCTATACCACTTGGTCCAATTGACTTTCGCGTAGACGGGGAAGCAAGAGAAACTTAAGGTTTGAAAAGACTGGCAACTTTACCTCTAGGCAGCTTCGACGTTGCTTCTTGTGGTAACCGCGCTTGGACAAACGATGAACACTACCTTATGATTGCTTGCTTGAAGGTACCCCCCTTCAAAACTTTGCACGGCATCCTTGAAAGAGCCGGAGCTTTGCGTTCTCCCTTGGGTACTTCCCGTGACATGGAGCCGCACGGTGGTGGCTTTGTGGTCGTGAGTGCCAACCCAAGGCCCCGAAGTCACGCTTGAAGCACCAACTGGGCATGATGCAATATGTGTATTTTTTTTTGTGCATTATGTTTATTGTTATTAGTATTTCATCATTATGTTTATTGTTATCAAATAAAGAACAACCTTCCCCATATATCAGGAAACGCCTCATGGGTATTTTGGAGACGTGTGGTTTGGGGACTACCCCCTGTCCTTGAAGTGGGAAGCAGCAATACCTCCAGCGCACCGGGCTGCCAAGCGGAAGCTGAGTCCCAGCCCCAAGTCGAGGCTTCCCAGACTTTGACCTGGACGCCGGAGATCTGGGGGGCAACCTCTCCTGGGAGGAGCCTTTGGAACTCGAGCTCTTGGAATTCTACAATGCCCCTGGGCGAAAGTTTACCGGAACAGGGTTACTTGAGGTATCGCCATTTGAGCAGTTTGTTTGCATGTGTTCGTCTTCGGCATTGTTTGTTGTTTTTTTGGCTGTGTTGGTGTGTTGGTGTCTGTTGTGTTTGTGCTTGTTGTTTTGCCTGTTCTTCTAGTTCAGGGCTAGATCAGCAGCAACTTCTCAGTTACGTTTGCCAGTCATTCCTTTCCGGGATGGGTAACCAACTTGTGGCCATGCTCAGCGTGTTCACCTTTGGGATGATGTTTCAAGTGGACAACACATGGGCAAGATGCAATGCTCGGGTTCTGTGATGTGCCGCGTGTGGTTTCAGCGAAGGAGGGGGTACATAAGACAAGAATCGGAGAGAACAGTGACAGAGGTCTGGACTTGTCCGTGGTTGTGGATTTGAGGAACCAGGCAGTCAGCCATTCGATCATGTCATTGGATGTGTTTATTTGTCTCTTCTTATTCATAGTTGTCGAGCGAGAGTAGACTGGCAACCTGTCACAAGCCCTATAACAGCCCTCTTGCCCGACCCTAACACAACCTGAAAACAAGCCTAAATACCCGACAACCCGACCCAACCCACCAAAATCCATCCGCCAACATGAAACTGCAGGCCCCGACCTTTGAACCCAACCTTGAACTGATGCGAAAATATGCCATTGACCAACCAAACAAATCCAAAAATGAAAATATCCTTGCATTCCCGGAGACAACAAGGAAAAGCACGCCAAACGGGAAACTACCCCAAAGCAATGGCATGACTGATAAGTCTTGTTTGGATATGCGAGAGACAGAGTTGTTGGGCAGCGATGCGGGCCAATTGATCTAAGCTCCCCGTACAGCAACATAGGCCACCGAGATGTCAGGATGTGCTATGCGTATGGGCATGCATCATACGCCGGATGACCCCTGTGCCAGCACTGTACCAGTTTACCGCTGATGTCTTGGCTTTAGGATGACGGGGTTGATCAGAATTCCTGGCCCCCAAGTGACCAGGACAGTTGGAAAGTTATTTGTTTGGTGGTTTTTCCTACTTGTCATCCCTAAAGGACCTTTTGATCACCCATATGCATGTTGAGCGGCTCGCAGGTGTACATGGCGATCGCCGTGGAGGACTCGGACTCCACCGCAGATGCTCCTTGCCAGACTTGGGCTCTGCCCAAAGCGAATCGACTTTTGTGCCTTAGAGTTCCATTTGTTGGCCCCCAAAGGCTGACCTTGCAATTTCTGGGCCCTTTGGGCAACTCCGTGGGACACGTGCGTTGCGGGAATCATCGTTCAAATTCAAGGCGCTGAGTATGTCATGTCCTAAGATAGCAAGTTTACGCAGCAGCATTGTGTGTGTGTGTGGCCTCCCGGTCTTCTACCTTTGGGTTTCCATGCAAGATCCTTTTGCAAGCCACCTGGCTGTGAATTGCAATGGGGAACCACCTCCAAGGTTGCTGGTGGACATAAATCCCCACTTGAAGGATGTCCACATTCCCATTCTTATGCTTCCTTGCAAGTGACCCTCAAAATCCGAAAGCATGTTGTTTGTGGGCCAATATGTTTCGATTGGGTGGTTTCAAACATGTATTTGTTTCGCCCGCATGGGGTCTCTAAACAGGTTGGACCCCTTTTTGCCGGCCACTTTTTGGGTCCCCGACCTTTTTCTTAGACGAACAAACACCACAATGGAACCCAACGAGCCGGCATTTCACACCACCTTTGTGACAACCCGAGGAACACCAGTCCTTCACCTCTCGGAGCTTCCTGGGAGCAGTGCCAAAGGGCACCAAGGCGAAGCAGTCGGTTTTGGTCTGGAGCAAACGCTCGGATCTGGAGTGGTTTGTTTGTCTGTATTGGTGTGTTGAATATGTGTGTTGTTTGGTTGCTTTGTATTTTATTGTTGTTGCTTTGTGTTTGCAAGTTTATGTTTGTTTATTTTGTTGGATCGGATAGGATTGGATTGAATTGGACCTGATTGTTTTGATCCGAATGATTTGATTGTTTGGATGTGAGTGATGTGATTGATTGACTTACTTTGACTGATTGATTAATTGATTGATTGATTGTTTGCCTGCCTGACTTGATTCATTGATTGCTTGATTGATCGATTGCTTGTTTGTTTGTTTGTTTGTTTGTTTGTTTGTTTGTTTTTGTTTGTGTTTGTGTTTTTGTGTTGTGTATGTTTGTTTGTTTGTTTGTTTGTTTGTTTGTTTGGTTGGTTGGTTGGTTGGTTGGTTGGTTGGTTGGTTGGTTGGTTGGTTGGTTGGTTGGTGGGTTGGTGGGTTGGTTGGTTGGTTGCTTGTTGTTTGACTTGTTGATTACTTGTTTGTTTCTTTGCATATGTTTTTGTTTTTGCCTTTCTACGCATATGGATATGTAGTGTGTGTGTGTGTGTATTTGTTTGTCTCTGTGTATGTTGTACCTTCAAGCGAGGCTTACATCGATCCTGCTTCGTTTCGCCCTACTCGTATCAACAACATGCAATCATCTCTTCGGCATGTTGATAGCCGAAGATTGGACCAACCAGGGTGCCAGGGTGCTTCTGAGACAAGCGGAATAGACGTTTCACACGCATTTCCATTGGCAGGGCATTTGCCAGAACACGCCTGTGGGCGGACAAAATCCACGTCATGCACGAGTGGGGATGAGATGAATGACCTGAATCTGGAAAGAAACTACGCGCCAGCTGGTCCAGGATGTAGTCCGCCTGCAGTAGTATGCGGAAAGGTGCGGCCCACATTTGTCAACAAGAAGTCTTTTCTGCGAGAGAGCTCGTCCATCAAAGCCTGGCCGGACTTAGAATCTTGACCAGGGGTCAACAAGGGCTTGATTTCCCGCAATCTTCCGGCTGCGGGGCAGCGGTCAAATGGGCAGGTTGCCTGTATCCAGAGTGTTGCACTATGAAACAGTAAACCCTTTCCGCACGGTACTTAAAAGAAAAAGCAAAAGTTGTGGGCCGTTTCAGGGCTCTAGCAAATGCGTGAAAATGAATTGGACCCCTCCAATTGCTTGACTTCATGTCAATTTCCTTCCAACATGGATCAACAGCGGGTCTTCCACACAATTGCATACAGCCCATTTCAATCGCACACCTATGTCGCTGGTTTTTCGGTGACAGGAGTTCCTGATCCCTCCCGAGACGGCGCTCGGGAACTTCACACACTTCCTGGTCTACCTGCACTCCGCTCTCGCGGAGCAGACCACGCCCTCGAGCAGCTCGGAAGCACCAGAAGAAACGCTGAACTGGTAGACACAAAGAGTAAGACAGCAAATAGTCAAGCAAGCGAGCAGACAAGCGGCAAGCAAGCAACCACGCAAATGAGCGAGCCAGCAACCCTGGTGGCCTGAAACAAGCTTCTTCGTGATGGGCGGCCCCCTTTGTTTTCCCGAAAGGCTGGTTCAACGCCTTCCATTTGCTTTGACTGTACCCACGGAGGCAGGCATTTCGGCAGCTGACGGGATGGGCTAAGGTCCAAGCTCCATGCACGGATTGTTCGCTGCGAAGGTCTCAGGCCACCATGCATGCATTTGCTTGGAATTCCCCTCCCACTTTGCTGTGGTCACCCGGTTTACTAAGCACGGGGAATTGTGCCATCCACCCGGCCCAGTACTTTCATGCAAGTGTATTTCTTCACGGCGGAGGCTGTCAAGTCGCTCTCTGGAATTGATGGGAGTCGCCTGTCGACTCCGCTTTGTTCTTTGGCTTTGCCTTGTTCTTGGGCTTTGCCTTGTTCTTGGGGCAGAGTTGCCCCGAACCTTAATGATTACCAAGAACAAATCTTTGGGTCAAAAGCTGGCTTTGGGTTCTTTTGTGTGTTTTGTTTCACGAAAAGACCCAGTTTCTCCACCCCGGTCAACGGGGCACGATGGAAACTACCCTGGGGGTGCGTTCCCCATTTCGAGCCATGCCCCGTTTGTGGCTGTTTCTCCTAGGCATTGCGATCTTCGATCTCTCCGCGAGCGCATCAGAGGTGAACTTTACGGATCAGGAGTCGAGTGGGAAGGCTTGCACCTCTGACCCTAGGAAGCTCTCTTTGCTGTGACCTTTACCCAGTTGCCCCGTGGCGCCCTTCTTTTTTGCTTTTTTTGGGGAAGGGCTCCCCTTTAAACTCAACCAACCAAAAACAGATGCCCTTTTTTCCCCATGGCCACCGGGCATCTGAGCTTAACCTTCAAGAACTGTTCACTCTTTTGGAAAACATGCCAATTTTCCCCGAAGATAACAAGCGACCCTTTTTTGGGGGGGGACCGCCGAGCCAACGGACCTTCAGATTCGACTTGGAATTCCAAGTCTGGGCAAGGGGCAACTGCTCTCCGGGCCTGTGTTTTTTCAGGGTAGCATGTTTTTTTTGGCGTTAAAGCAAGCCCAAACCGACAACTGCCGTTTTGGGGTCCCCCTAATTTTGAGAAAACTCGCGGGTGTTTCCTTTTCTTGATCACCACCCTAGATGAATTCAGCCACTTGTTGCTTTGAATTGTGATGTTTGCAGTCGCCTGAGAAATGGAACTCCCGGGATCCCCGATGACGGGCGAGGTCCGAGGTGTTGGTATGATCCCAAAAGAATGCCGGAGTAGTTTTTACGGACCTTCTGTAAGAAGCTGCTCAGATCAGAGGGACCTGCCGTGTGTTCCAAGTGTTCCACGGTTTGACAGCCCAAATACTCAACTTTCAACCCTGGAGTCTTTGGAGTTGTTGGGTACTTCAGTCTTGACCTCTGTGCATGGAATGTGTTGTGGGCTTGTGGAACTGAGTCAGGACAGGTCGTGGCTGGCAGATTGACAGTGGATTTGTTTACCAAGTTGTCCGACTCTGTGTGTGTGTGTGTATATTTTGTTATGTATTTGTCTCTTCTCTTTTTCTTTCACTTTCTCCTTTGTTGTCTTTATCGTTGTTGTAATTTATCTGTGTTGCTCTTCTTCGGCCTTGGGTCATGCATGTTTGGCTGCAGACCTCGCTGGCGAAGCAAACAGAAGAAACAAATGGTTGGAGTCGCTGGCGAATCACGCTTATCCAACCAACTGTGTGTTTTTTGAGGGTGCCCCTTGTACCATGGCAAGGGAATCCAATAGAAAAACCCACATTGCGAGGGTCCATCTACATTGACACAAACCCAACCTCTGGTGAGGACTTGGATGAGTCCGAGCTGGGGGGCAACATCACATGGCTCGAACCCTTGGATCACTATGGGCGCTTGGACTTCTACAGTGCTTCGGCAAAAAGTCGGAACCGCGTGTAGTCATTGTCTTCACATCCCCTTGCGTTGCTGAAGTGAATAGTGCTGAAAGATTCCCTGTGTTGGCTTTAAGGATAAATATGGCTATTTTGTCCAGGGGACTTAAACCAAAGGAGGTCCCCCTTCACATTTCCCCTGATGGGTGAGATTGATCTTTCTATAAGGCTGTTGTAACCCCACACCCCTAAATACAAAGCTTGTCAAAGTCAGAACGGGCTGCTTCCCTTTGGGGCTAGCTTGCGAGAAAGTGTACATGGTGCTTTTCGCGCCGTTTCGGTCGGATTGTGGGGTACTCGGCGACAGAGCGACTTCTGGAGTGCGGCGAACCCTTTGGTTATCTTTGGTTGAAACAGTCGTTTCCTCCCTAAGCATTTTGGGCCCTCAAAAAGGCCCCTTTGTTGAGGTCCAAAACCTTCCAATGGAGGTCCCAACGCCTTCAAAGGGTCCACTGCTGCATTTCTCGTGACTGATCTATGCCCGGCTCTGATCGCTCGATCGGTCTCGCACGGGCACAGGCCTGTACTTGGAAGCCGACAGCCGCTTGAAATTGGAGGCAAGCATGAGAGGGACATGTGGGCACGTGGCACAACAAGGTGAGGTCTGAACAAGTGTTGCGAAAACAGAACAATTTACGTGCACGTAGAACGCATGTTGCAAAATATCTCTGACATTGGGCTTGGAAGACGCTTGCTTTCATGTTTGCCTGGTCTATAGCAGTTTGTAGCGCAATTCGCCTTGTCAGAGATATAGTGTGAAAAGGGCAACCTCAAATAAGAACGGTGAATGGCAACATTCAGTCGGCAAGCTCAAATATTTGAGCACACCATGCAAAAGGAACCAGAGAACCAGCCACTTGGAGCAGGTCCAACTCGTTTCGACACATACCTTGGACGTTCTTGGCACTGGTTCGTGGGGAAGAAAAGCCGCCCAGTCAAGCACCGGGTGGTTTCCTGGTCTGACAAACCCAGATTGATAGGCAAAGGTGCCCTATTTGGGCTCGACCATCAGTTCTACAAACACCCCCGCTCATCGAACAGGTTTAACGTATTCGGTGAGTTGTTCTTTCAGAGTAGTTACCTTGTTGGCCAAACCAAGCCCGCCTGACCTGCCATTGCCAGGATGTGCCAGCAGCGACCAGCTGGTCCCATGTGCCCGCGGAGACTCCGCAGAGTGCGCCTCGAGCTCTCATGGATTTGTGACTCCACTCGGGTTGGGTTTACTGGGAATATCTGTTTCAGGGATATGGTGGGTTAGGGATATCCCAAAATATTGGGATATACTGAATTTTGGGGATATTGAGATTTTGTTCAGGGACATCTGAATTGTTCGGCTGCCTTACAAGGAGAGCTAAGTTGGTCTTCATGCCTGTTGTTCTCTCTCGGACCGCTAAAGCAAGCAACCCATTGTCTTTGGGTACCTATTAGCTAGTCCATATATGTCTTAATTCCGGAAAAGGATGCCGATAGGGATTTGCAAGCATGCCTTTTTCCTAGACTCTATTTGACACCCAGTTCTGAAACAAACACGCAACGAGGAACCCAACTCACTGAGTTCGTTCACACTCTTCAAACCGCTAATAGCAGGCGCTAAGTCGGCTAAATGGCTACTGCCTGATGATACACCTCATCCCTCATGGCTAGGCTTAGGTTTTAAGTCCCCACAACCCCAAGGCCCTACCACTTAGGAGGACCCGAAACGTGTTCTGATCCCTTGCACCACAGGACAATCAATCGTGTAGCATCCTCACACCCATTTTGGCTTTGAATCTTAACAGCCCAAACATGACTGGCGGACACACATCCCCATGCAAACGATGTCCCCCAAAGCGCTGATTCAAAATCACACCCATCCGTTAGAACCCATTTGTGCCTTCAAGCACAGGTTCCAATTTTGTTGTTTAAACCGACCCAAGAGGGGTACCCTCAAAACCAGCCGCACACATTTAGCGTCACCCAAGCGACGCCTCTCTGAGCCGGCGTGCTGAGGGCTACACTCACATTGCTATTTACGCCGCCTCGCAGCTGGCGGAGCAGACTACTCCCGCCACGCTGCTGATCGAAGATACGGCGACTCGGTTGAAGCGGTTTCTGGGGCTAACGCGAGCGAAAGCACATGAGGTTTATGTCAAAATAGGGACTTGGCCTCAAAATGCAGGTTTTGCTGTTGACTCCCTTCAAACAAAACTTACAAGGGGGTGCCCGCAAGAGAAAGCGACTAGGGGTTCCAACCAAACCGGTCAAAAGCCCTTGTCCTTTCCCGGAGGTCTTTGACGAATCAAGCAACGGGCAAATCCCCCCGCTACGCAACAGCGCTGCAATCTTAAAAACGGTCATGTCCTGCAGAGTGTGCTGTTGTTGCCATGATGGAGCACTCAATTGCTTTCCTGACCTCTCACTCGGAGCCGATCTGAATGAGAATCCACCAACCTGCACTAAATGGATGCGAGAGCGTGGTGTCCCCTTCTGCGGTCTGTCAAGTTCCCGCTAGACTGCTTCGACAGTGCACGTTTGGACACGGAAAAAGTAGAGAGCTTATATTACTCAGTCGTTCGCTTCATCGCGCCCGGCTCAGGTCGCCAGGGCCAGCAATCTGAGCTTTCTGGCACCTCGGACGGAATCAGCGCTGAACAGATGCAGACTTTCACGCCCATGCAAATCACATCCTCACTGAAACGGCCTCTCGGGCTCTGCGCCCATGAAGGTATTTCCTGTTTGGGACTTGTTCCGAGTGGGGACCACAATTGCTGTTGGGAGCCCAAGTTCTTGCCACGTGCGGCCGAGGCAAAGAAGCACAACGCAAACCCCATATTGTCCCATATTGTCTTGGACTTTAACACAAAAGACCCCAGACCCTTTTTGCAGCAGGTCCCCCCTTAAATCGGCCCAACAAAGGCTTTGTTCCCATGGTTACTGGGGGTCTGGCACCTATTAGAGATTAGAGATACTTCCTACATGACATGGGCCTCAAAAAGGGTCGTTAGGTGGGAACCCTCTGGTGGATATCAATTAGGTGGGGGTTGATGTCCACAAACCACTTGGAAGGGTATTCCTCATGAACAAAACGTAGCCGTTGTAGAGAGGGGGGTTCAACGGTCCCTGCGTATTTCCCGCTTTTTGCGCTGAGTCAAAGCGGGATGTACTGAGGACCTCGATTTGGACCTGGGCCACCTGGGGGGGAACCTCAGCTGGCTGGAGCCTGCGGACATGAGCCAGGTGACTCACTACGTCCGGTGGCCAAGGGGGAGCCCGCACGACATTTGGGCCATTTGGGTTCTGCGAAAGTCGACGCTCCGTCTGGGACCAGACAATACCCGCCGTTTTGCGGGGCGCTTACAAAGAAGGTTCTAGAAGAGACGACCACTTCAGGTCAACTTTGTTTGCCTTAGCAAGTGTCCACAGCAGTAGCTAGTGCGTCTGTGTGTATGTGTGTATGTGTGTGTGTTGGTTTGTCTATGTCTCTTTGTGCGTCTTTCTGTGTTTGTTTGTTTGATTGTTTGTTTGTTTGTTTGTTTGTTGCCTGCCTGCCTGCCTGCCTGCCTGCCTGCCTGCCTGCCTGCCTGCCTGCCTGCCTGCCTGCCTGCCTGCCTGCCTGCCTTGGCCTGCCTGCCTTGGCCTGCCTGCCTGCCTGCCTGCCTGCCTGCCTGCCTGCCTGCCTGCCTGCCTGGCTCCCCCCTTGAACCCCGTTCTGTCTGTTTGTTTGGCTGTCTGTCTATCCGTCTGCCTGCCTGTGTTGTTTGTTTGTTTGTCTGTTTGCATGTCAGTATGTTTGTCTATTTGCCTGTTTTTGGTTTGTCCGGTTGTCTGTTTGCTTGTCTGTCTGTTTGGTTGTTTGTGTGTGAGTTTGGGTGTGTCGGTTTCTGTGTTTGTGCGTTCGTTCGTCCGCACGTCCGTTCGTTGGTTTGTTTGGTCGTGTGTGTGTGTGTGTGTGTGTTTGTTTGTTCTGTTTGTTTGCACGTCTGTTTGTTTGTCCGTCCGTCTGTCTGTCTGTCTGTCTGTCTTTCTGTCTGCCTGTCAGTCTGACTTATGTCAGTCCGTCCGTCTGTTTGTTTGTCCATTTGTTTGTTTGTCTGTCTGTTCGTTTATTTGTCTGTATGTTGGTTTGTTTGATTGTCAGTTTGCTACTTCGTTGTTGTTTTTGTTTTGTGTGTCCATTTTTTCTTTCTTTCTTTCTTTCTTTTTTTTGTCTGTCTGTCTGTCTGTTTGTTTGTTTGCCATTTGCCGGTTTGTGGATTTGTCTGTATGTCAGTTTGTCTTCTCAAATCGGAAGATTTGTGTGTCCAATGGTAGCAGCTTATGATGACTTGACGACTTGTTGCCGCATTGGTCCATACATTACATCATTTTAGTGCCTCCGGCTCAGGCCGCCGACATTACAGGCCTGCTTTATTATTTGCGTCCCTTTGGAATTGTCCCCTTGCCCCCTTCCCCTCTGAGATTTTTGCCCCCCTTTCTTTGTTGAGATCCATTCCCCCTTTCCGCCCGAAGGCCTTTTCTCCCTCTGTTTTTTTCCCTTTTCCTCCCTAAGATGTTTTCACCCCTCTCCCTGTTGAGATCCTTTCCCCCCTTTCCCCCCTAAGGCCTTTTCCCCCCTGAGATCTTCTCCCTTTGCCTCCCTAAGATCTCCCAGATCGTCTCCCTTTCAGGGAGAAGATCTGGGAGAAAAGGACTTAGGGGGGAAAGCCCAACAGGGAAAGGGGGGAAAAGATTTAGGAAGGAAAAGGGAGAAGCTCTCAGGGGGGGGAAAGGCCTTAAGGGGGGAAAGGGGGAAAAGGATCTCAGCGGGGGGGGGGGAAGATCTTAGGGAGGAAAGGGAGAAGATCTGGGGACAAAGGCCTTAGGGGGGAAAGGGGAGAAATGATCTCAACAGGGAAAGGGGTGGAAAAGATCTTAGGGCGGAAAGGGAGAAGAGCTGGGAGAAAAAAGGCCAACAGGGAAAGGGGGGAAAGACCTAAGGAAGGAAAAGGGAGAAGCTCGCAGGGGGGGGAAAGGCCTGAGGGGGGAAAGGGTGGGAAGGATCTCAACAGGGAAAGGGGGGAAACAATCTTAGGAAGGAAAGGGAGAAGATCTGGAAAGGCCTTAAAGGGAAGGGGGGAAAGGATCTCAACAGGGAAAGGGGGCAAAGGATCTTAAGGAGGAATAGGAAGAAGATCTCAGCGGGGGGAAAGGCCGTAGGGGGGAAAGAGGGGAAAGGATCTCAACAGGGAAAGGGGGGGAAAGATCTCAGTGAAAAAGGGAGAAGGTCCCAGGCAGGGAAAGGCCTTAGGGGGGAAAGGGGGAAAGGATCTCAATAGGGACAGGGGGCAAAGGATCTTAGGGAGGAAAAGGGAGAAGATCTGAAAAGGCCTTAGGGGGAAAAGGGGGAAAGGAGCTCAACAGGGAAAGGTGGGAGAAGATCCTAGGGAGGAAAAGGGAGAAGATCTCGGGGGAAAAGATCTTGGGGAGGACAAGGGAGAAGATCTCAGGGGGGGGAAGGCCTTAGGGGGGAAAGGGGGGAAAGGATCTCAACAGGGAAAGGGGGCAAAGGATCTTAGGGAGGAAAAGGGAGAAGATCTTGGGGGGGAAAACGCCTTAGGGGGGAAAGGACGGGAAAGGATCTCAACAAGGAAAGGGGGAAAAGATCTTAGGAAGGAAAAGGGGGAAGATCGCAGGGGGAAAAAAGGCCTTAGGGGGGAAAGGAGGGAAAGGATCTCAACAGGGAGAGGGGGGAAAACATCGTGGGGAGGAAAAGGGAAACACTCAGAGGGAGAAAGGGCCTTAGGGGGGAAAGGGGGGATGGATCTCAACAGGGAAGAATGGCAAAAGATCTTAGGGAGGAAAAGGGAGAAGATCTCAGGGGGGGAAAGGCCTTAGGGGGGAAAGGGGGGAAAGGATCTGAGCAGGGAAAGGGGGGGAAAGATCTTGGGGCAAAGGCCTTAGGGGGGAAAGGGGAGAAATGATCTCAACAGGGAAAGGGGTGGAAAAGATCTTAGGGAGGAAAGGGAGAAGATCTGGGGCAAAAAAGGCCAACAGGGACAGGGGGGAAAGATCTAAGGAAGGAGAAGCTCTCAGGGGGGGAAAGGCCTCAGGGGGAAAGGGTGGGAAGGATCTCAACAGGGAAAGGGGGGAAACAATCTTAGGAAGGAACGGGGGGGGGGAAGATCTTAGGGAGGAAAGGGAGAAGATCTGGGGGCAAAGGCCTTAGGGGGGAAAGGGGGAAAGGATCTCAACAGCGAAAGGGGGGGAAAGATCTCAGGGAGGAAACGGAGAAGATCTGGGGAAAAAATGCCTTAAGGGGGAAAGGGGGGAAAAGATCTTTGGGAGGAAAAGGGAAATCTTTGTCGGGGGGAACAGGCCCTAAGGGGCAATCGGGGGACAGGATCTCAATCGGGAAAGAGAGAAAAAAACTTTGGGAAGAGAAGGGTGGAGATCTTGGGGGGAAAAGGCCTTAGGGGGGAAGCGGGGGCAAGGATCTTAAGCGGGAAAGGGGGGAAGAGATCTTAGGGAGGCAAAGGGAGACGAACTCAGGGAAAAGGACTTAGGGAGGAAAGGGGGGGAAAGATCTTTGGGAGGAAAAGGGAGAAGAACTGAGGGTGGGAAAAGGCCTTAGAAGGAAAAGGGGGGAAATAAATGATCTCAACAAGGAACTGGGGGGGGGTTCACCAGCATAGGCAACATCCCCAGCATCACTTGCATCATCCGCATCCTTGGCAGGCGCTGATGCGGATGATGCAGGTGATGCTGGCGATGTGCCGCTGGAGCTGCTAAGGGTGCGAAAGCGCACCCGGGGGGAATCGAACACCCCAATGTTTTTGACAAACTGAGTTGCGTGAAGCGTCTTCGAATCACCGCGTGGTACGTGGACGTCTGAAGGCTGCCCCTGCAAAGGGGTTAGGGGAGGGGTAACAGGTAAAGAGGTAAGGAGCATTTCTTATGTCCAACACACCACCTGTTGTCGGCGGATATTGCCCTTGCTTTGCCACTCAAGAGCCTAGCAGCAAGGCGACGGTTGTTTGGAAAGCGCTTGCTTTCCTCACGGTGGAAACTCCTTTTTTGCTGTGAGATAGTGGGGATGGTCCGCAGAAAGGGGGCGCCGAACGTAAAGATGTGTATTTGAAGCCATGGCCCACGGGAATTGTGACCTTGCCAGACTTGATCATTGTTCTTGTTGAGGCCGTCTACTTCGCAGAGGCGCTTTCAGACAATGCACCTCGGCAGCCCTGCACTTTTCTGGAATCTGATTCTGCCCGCGGGGTTGGCATTTTTTTTTGCAAACTAGACCTTGGACCCGTTTGTAAAGGCACTTAAGCGAGACCAGTCCGAGTTGGTTACAAGAGTTGTCTGAACATAATGAGATGTTTGCACGTTTAGCTTGCCAAACCACGCCCAGATGGATCTTACGAACCTGCCGCAGCGCCCCCGATCTTGGCTAGGCCAAGCCGCTTCATGTTCTTTCGGGATGCAGGGACATGGTGATGGGGCAGAAGATGAGGAAGACGAACGCGTAAGAGCAGGTCAGGGTTTTCTTATTGCCCATCATGCAGTCTACTCCCGTTTCCAGGTCCCATCTATTTGTTTAAGGGTACACGTTGTGAAGGACAACCAAAGGGAAACCCTCAACAAAAGGAATCCAATGGGTGATAAATGGTTGTTGCACTTCTCCTTAAAGCGAAGCCAAAGAGATAGCACACAAGGGGTCCATTCAGCTAAGGAGACGGCCTGCGTGGTGCTGGGTCACGTAGCGGCGCTGGTCACAGGCCGGTCCACGGAAAGCCCTAAACTGGGCTTTCAAAATGGGTGTTTTGTTTGACCATGTTTCAGGTTTGTTTGTTGGCAAACCAAGCGGAAACCGCAGCCCATTTTGGGTTTGCGTTGACATGTGCCAATGGGTGCACCGACCAGATGGGTGGTTTCCATTTGGTGTCCCTTTGAAACAACCAAACAAGGACTCCTCAGAGCATGTCCAACTGTCCAACTGAAGAATTTGCTTTCTGTCAAGGGCACGTAGCATGCTGACTCGTAGGACGACAATCAAATAAGGTGGCACTCAACCAGTTTGCTTTCATGGCAAGCTCCAAATGTGCATGTTGGTTGCACGATATGTGGTTGGGAAGCTTGGCAATGGAACTTTCAAAAGGCGTCAAACATGTTGGGATGCACCGAAGTGGACAAGCCCAAAAGAATCAGCAAACCCATTTTGGGGGTTCCAACAAAAAGACGGAGCCACCCATTGGTTTGATCCCAAGCTGTCCGTTCGCTTCACGAGCGAGGCAGCTTCTCGCTGGACCTGGACGCCACGGAGGCGCAGGTGGAGGAGGCGGCGCGTCTGGCGCTGGCCACGTCGCTGGACGTGGACCCCGGCCCTTGGCCTCGGAGTCGCTTGCGTCGCGTTGGCGGCGTGGAAGTCACCTGAAACCGCCGTGGATGGAAGTCGGTGGTGCACCGAAGAAACCCAAGGGAATGATATTGATTCCCCCGTGGAAGGCCAAGAAGCTGTGGGATTTTCATGGCTTTAAATTGGTGCGACATGGAGTTCGTCCATACACAGTTTGTTTTTGGCATGTCCTTCCTGAATTGCATTTTTTCCTTGCGGGGTCATGTTGTAGGTTGACATATTTGTGAAGCATTGGGAACCCTGTGAGCCAGCAGGAGGCAAGGCTTGTGCGTCGGCTTGTGTCTTTTGAACCGCAGGGGAAGTGGCCTCAAAGCCCTGAGCTTCCCGCTTTTGATCTGTCGAACTTCAACCAGGTTTGCTGGACGCATCTCCGGCGAGGTTTGCGCACGGCACACGCAGAGCCGGTAATGGAAAAGGACAGAGGAGATGCAAACAACCTCTCCAGGTGTGTTGCGTGTATGATCATGAAGCTGTGAATTATTACGCCACAATACAGCATATCGTAAAATACCATGCCCGATTACAGCAGAACGTACCATGGCATGCAGCATGGACATTCAACAGCTGACACTGGTTCTCCCTGAGGGTGACGCAACTTGTTGGAACCCGGATTCGCTGGGAAACCATGCCAATTCGTTTTTTTGGCATGGTGGCAGCCCTTGAATTAGGCTTCCTTTTGGAAGGTCAACTTTAAGTCGAACTTCTAGGAACAAAGCGGCTCATAGCTCCTTTCTTTGGACGAGGGGTTAGGGTCACAAACTGCGGTTCCTTTAGCCCATTTGAGCAGCGCCATAAACCCTGGCGGGGTGTCATAGAACCCCCGTGAAAGCCAAAACGCAGGCCGCGAAAGCTTGCGAAAGCTTAAGTGCTTAAAGAAGGTCCCGCCGCGAAAGCCCCGCGAAAGCCTGCGTGTTGATGATGAGCGGGAGTCCTGCATTTGGGGTGCACTGGCGTTTGTGGAACTCACTTTGAAGAAAGGCCCATTGCACTGCAACGAGCGTCACAAGGAACCTGCAGCTTTTGAGCTCATGCAGTGCAAAGGGTGTGATAGTCCGCCGCGAAAGCGCCGCGAAAGCAGTTTTAAAGAAAACGAAGCCCACGAAAGCAACACATGGGGTCCTGAAAGCGTTCGCGAAAGCAAGTTCACAGTACCGCTTTTTACACAAGAGAATTCGGCATGGCTCATTTGGCCATGGGTCAAAACCCCGTACCCCCAATGAACAACTGAAATAGGTTCTAAAATGGGTGGTGAACCTATCCCAAATGGTACCAAAACGGTTTTGAACCATGGCTATTTCGGGGCAGTTGCACCAAGGCCAGATCCAAGTCACCGTGACGGCCACGGTCTTGCGGCGGCTGGAGGATGAGGCTGGCCGAGAGTGAATCAGGTGAGTTCCATGGAAATAGAATGAGGGGAACCGTAGAAGAACGTCACAAAAGTTCTCACGAGCTTTGAGCGCTCCAAAGTGAAGGTCCCTAAATTTTGAAGATTCCTGGTCTCCAGTTTGTGAATACTCATCATGGAACAGACTAAGCACCTGACGTAAGTAAATGTATCCTAGATTAAAATTGTGCTGAAGCCCTGGTTGATTGGCATGGCTATGCATTTGCTTGGCATATGTTGGAGCACTTTGGCAGACGCCCCGATTCAGTGGAAGCTCAATGTTGAGAGACAGAGCCTGCTCGAGGTGCAGTCTCTTTAGCCCATGGAGGTTGGTGTATGTTTCTCGGAACCTCCAAAAATGGCAGCTTCAAAGGAAACCACCAGCGAATTGCATTGGTAACCACCATACCTGTACTGTTGATGGACAAAAATCGTGAAAGATACCAATTGGTAGGTGCCTTGTCCCAGTACGTCGCTACGGATTACCCGTTCCAATTCCCCAGTGAGCGGCTCCACAATCAAACGTCAGATGCTGGAAGGAGACCATACGAAACCCCAAATTGGACAAGGGTCCGAAAATCAGAGAGAATCAAAACCCCTCATTTTTTGTTTGGGCGCTGATCTCAGGTCGGCCCCGCTCAAGAGGCTCAAGTGCCACTTCTGGTGCGATGTTCGCGGTGGAAGAACTCCCCTTGCGTGGAAGGTGGCAACCGACGTGTTCTTTTTGGTAGCGCCCGGAATGGTTGTCGATCAAATATGGTGTTAGGTGTGCGTTCTGTACTCAGGGAATCACCTTAGGCAGTCATGGAATGACCAATGTTACCAGGTGAATCCGACTCGGCGGCTGGCCGCTACACACTGGGAGGCTCTCTCCGGGAGGGGTGCCACGGGCAGTGCACGGAGGTCCACCAATGTGTAAACGAATGAAGGATGAATAAGTTTGATGAAGGACAACTGAAAACCGGTTTGTTTTTGTTGGTGCTGTGCAGTATGCACATTTGGCACTGGAGCCATGTTTACCCTATGCTAGTTGGGTGGTATAGTGACGGGTGACTTGCTGCCGGAGTTGTTTGGAAGTTCCTCACACATGTACCAACAGTGGGAAACTAGCTTTGAAGAAACATACAAAGATCGAGGCCCCATGACAATTTGGCTCATGTCCGGTCGCCTCCCTGCATAGGGTGCATAGGGACCCTCAGAGACAGGCTTCATGTAGAGTATCTGGAGGACAATCATGTGTTCAGCACCCCAAATTCGAAGTGATAGAGCCAATGTAAAGTTGGTTCACCGAACTACGTGCCTCTGAAGGAATATAGGAATAACATCTCAATAGGGGTAGATTGCTAGTTTGGTACCAAGAGACTCAGTGAAAGTCACGAGGATGGGAGACTCGCTTTACGGGCTGATTTCCCGGGATTTGGTTGAGAGCGGTTGGGACCCCACCCAAAGCCGCCAAGGGATTGGTCTAATTTGATGAAAGGAACCCCACACACACCCGCCATGTCAGTCTCTGGTTCCAGGTCCGTTTCCAGTGTCCGAGTTCAGTTACTTTTTTATGATCAGCTGTGAAGTGGGTGCTTAGTGCGCTGGATTTGATTAAGCCACACCTTTCATCAGTTACCACCCTGATAGCATGCTGACGAGCCCACCAAATAGCAGTTTAGCCCCACCGGATTTCAATGTGAGAAAGGTTGCATACTTCTCACGACGGATCCGTGCACCGACTTGAGGAGTACGGCAACAAGCTGAATTTCAGGGCAAGAGGCACTCTTGGACATAGTTGTTGAAAGCCCAAAGTCGGCGGCCATTTCTGTCAAGGGGTCCCGACAACCTCCTCAAGGCGACCTACGCACATTTGCGAAGAACGTGTGTTGTATGTTACATACGCATACTTCCACAATCCCGAAACATTTTCCGAGTTTATTCCGACTAGTTCCAATGTTTGGTATGAAGCCACGGTTTTTGTCCCCACCTGTGCGACTATACTCCTGGGTCAACGTTTACATGTCCATGTCTTTGCCCTTCACCGGAGAGTCATGAACAAAGAAACCATTTGTGTGCCTCTTTGAAGGAATCCTTGGTGGGTTTTGGGGCGCAAAACGGAGCACTTTGAGGGTTCCCTTTGTAAAGAGGCAAGCCCCTTCAACTCTCAAGGCTTGAGCATTGACTCGGCTCGTCGCCGTGAGGTTTCGTACCTCGCGGTGGTGGCTGTGGAACTTGCCTCGGATGCCGCGGCCCAAGCCGCGAAGAGGTTTCGAAATCCTACCCCCGCGCTTGCCAAGGAGCCTGACCTGAGTAAGGGATGTTAGAAGGGTTCTGAGAATCATTCTGGGGGGAGGGGACTCTAATGATGAGCTCCACTAAAGTCAATTCGTGACTTGGATTCCATGGGAAACCGAGTGGATGTTCGTATTTTCCCTTGAACCTCCAGTGGGATTTATGACTAAGGGTGGAAGCCTTGAAAGACACAGGTAGTTCAATTCCATTCCATGAATGTTCACTGCTTGCAGCTTAAAACAGGGGGACCAGATACCTCAGTTTCTGCGCATATCCGATGCAAGTTCAGGAACGTTTATTTGCAGACCAAATCACCGACGCATGGGACCTTTCAGCACTGTCCATTGCCTTGACAGGGCCGCCATAACGGCGTTGAACCAAGTTGCAGACGCTGGTTTTCCAGCCCGAGCGCTTGGCAAGTGTCAGAGGTCCGGTGTGGCAGTGCTCCGGTACGTGTTTGCTGCCGATTAGGTCTTTCACCCGTCACTTGGGAAGATTGCGCACATTTGCGAACATTTCAACGAAGCAGCAATATTTTTGATGGGCAAAGTGGCTACACGTTAAGCAGATTAGGACACCGGTGAAGTTTGATTTTGCTCACTTCGCTGACTTGTGATTTGGACGTGGTTGCATTTTGCTCGTGTTTTGAATGCAAGAGGCATCGTTACCCGCCATTGAAGGGGTCAGGACCTCCCATGGAAAGCCCCAGACCTCAAAGCAGGCCTTTTTGAGTGCCCAAGATGCTTAGGGAAGGTTGTTCTTGGAACGTGCCGGGCGATGCGGTCAAGCTGGCGCCACAAGCTTTTGAGAACTGCTGGTCCTTGCTTCCAACACACACACACACACATTTTTCACTGGAACTTCTTCCCGAACTCATCTCACGGGGATGACATTTCATTTGGCACCCTTGCTACAATGCATCCCGAGTAATCGTGCCCGGCTCGAGGCTCCGTCACCTCACAACATGCCAAATAGGGCCTCCGCCGAGTGGTCTCTTGTTGCCAGTGTCGGGTTTATACCGGTACTGCGCGTTGTTGACTCTTTTTTTTTTGTTGTTTTTTTTGTCGGCCCCAAAAAGCGAGTCCCACTTCGTTTTCGCACACCCAATGGTTTGCGCTTTTGTTTCCCCGCCAAATCCCACGTCAGGTCGTGGAAGTGGTGGCTGCCGTGAATGCGGACCAGAGCGCATTTACGGAGCGCATGAAGACCGAGCTGGTGCATCAAGGCGTGGATCCAGGCCGGGTTCTCAATCGTCGGTGTCTCAAAGTCGGCCAGCCCCCAGGCCTTTATTTTGTGTTGGGCTTCTTTGTTGAAACCGCCACTTGTTTGTCACTGTAGAACAAATCCAGGGAAGTCTGTTCAGCTGGGCGAAAAATGGCAGGTTCTTTGGGTGGGGTCGGGGGCGTCCGGCCTCAGGTGCTGTGAAGCAGGTCACCGTGGCCTCGTTTAGTACGGCGGCGGTGGAAGTGGTGGCCACGACGACGACCACCACCTCCAGCAGCAGCTTCTTGGCTGCGCTTTGATCAAGAGATATCCAGCTGCTATTTGGCTTGTTTTATTTTCACTGTAAGCAAGTATGGGAAGTGCAATTGAGCATGCCGTCAACATGTCGGACGCCCCCAAACTGCTAGTTTATTTGTGGGTGCCCAACGAGAACCAATAAAAGGCACTCCCCCCATTTTTGGGTGGGTTCCTTTTGGCTTTCCTTTAAAACAACCTGAAAAGGGTGTCCCCCCAACAAAACAACAGCACAATCACACACACACATACACGTAGCCTAGATGGCCATTGCTTCCCCAATAGGTTCAACTTGTGGCCAAGTAGGACAATACACATGCCCCACCAACTTGTTACAGGTTCAGGTCCCAAGTCAGAATATATCCAGACACTGGTGATTAATGAAGTGAACCATGTAATTTGCTGGTGGGAAACCCACATGGTAGGAGCGTGACAATCACCACCTCATGCTGGACTTTCCCACTATTACGGCCATGAATGGCACATATAGATGTGTGAGTATGCCAAGTGTCCAGGATGATTGCCTTTATTCGCCATGGTGGAGAGTCCTTGGAGCGATATCTCAATGTCCATGTTGCTTTGCTTCTAGTAGAAATACAGGCGTTGTTGTTTGTTTTACAAGGACGTGTGTTTTTGCTTTCTTTTTGTGTTTGTCTTTGTTTGCGGGGGTATTAATCGTCCATTTCCTGCAAAAAGACAACCCTAGAAGGCTCAGCGACTTTTGCACACGAACAAACTGATGCGTCTGGTTTTGATGTTGCTTCCTGGCCGCAAATGTTTGCAGTACAAGCTTCAACGAGACACTTATCACTGTTGTTATCATCAGTTTTGGTTGGTGCATGACTATTAAGCTACTATTCAAGGCTGAGAGACAGCCACTGTCCTGGAATGCTTCCTATAGACTTGCGGCGGTTGGTCAGGAATCAGCTGGTAAAGAATTGGTTCGGAGTGCATTTGAGAAGCAATATTGTGGCCCTGGGTCCTGGAAATTGTATTTTTTTTGAATAGGATAGTTTACCAAATGATCATGGTTTGTCATGTGCAGTTAGGGAAAGCTATGACCATGGCAAGGTATTGAAAGGGTGGGTTGGAGCCATACAAATTAAACAACACATGGGTAGAGCCACAACAAGCGGAGCCCCAAATAGTCAAGATGAGTCACGAATAGTTTCTTTTTAGGCTGCAATGGCTCCTATGGTTGTGGCTCTATACCCGTACAAGAGATTGGGCTTGTTTTGGGTCGGGGCTTCGCCTGTGCACGTCAGATTGGGGTCGGTTGTGCCCGTCGGATTGGGGTCGCTTGTGCCCGTCTCTTGTTGATTCTGTGCGGCGCCACTGTGTTTCTCTCCCATTCTAAGGTGCCTTTTTGGGTTGGTTTTAAGTTGGGAAACTAGCAGGGAAACCGCTGCCGTTGTGGTGGGTCCCTGACAAAATAACAAACCCACATGGGACGTGGCTCTATAGATGGACAACCAAACCCACCGCCTCCACGCTTTGACAGGACCTGGCCCAATGTATTGACTGGTTTTGTATAGAGTTGTTAAGGGGGGATTCCCTAAGCTTCCCAATCAGGCTTCTAATCAGGATCTCTAAGGAACCCTTTTCGGGCTCTCCGCTGCTCACCCCCTCGGACCCCGCTTCAACAACTCTACAACCTTGGTGTTCGAAGTCGCTGGGCCTCCTTGGAACCTGTGAGGGGTGATAACTGGTAGGAACCGATGTTTTTTGGTTTATGTCGCATGTAGGTTCAAGCAAAGCACCTGCGCATATGAGAGATCCATGAAAAAGACCAGCGGCTGCGCCACTTCGCAGACCTGCAGGGATTTTGAAGAAACCTGCAGGGATTTTGAAGAAGCCCGCCAAAGATGAGACTTTGCATGATTTTCACATTGGCATCATAGACAAGGAGCTCGAGCAGGAAGACGTGCGCTCAAAAGTGCGGGAACTGCTGGGTGTTCTGGCGGCCTTCCGGAGCTACGGCGTGGGGCTTTTCCTCCATCGTTGGCATTGTGCGTCGTGCTCTGATCGGGCCACGTGGAATTATCGTGGCACTGCCCGGCATTGGCCGCACCAGGGTCGGCTTCGTGTGAAGGCAACTGCGCCTGAAAGGCTGTGTTAACTCGAGTCGATAGTGTTCGGTGTGTTTTGTTATGCGGGCCTGAGCTTACTATCTAGGGTTTCGGGCAATCTGTCGAGGTGGGATGGGTGAAACTCCATCCTGCGGGCCTGAGCTTACTATCTAGGGTTTTGGGCAATCTGTCGAGGTGGGATGGGTGCAACTCCATCCCGGGGCGGGCATGTGGCCGCACTATCCCGGGGCGGCAGCTCCAGTAAGCTTTCGGCAACGGGTGGTGCTTGCGTGGGGGCCGCGCTGGCCGGTGTGCTCGGCACGCAGAATGCGTGGTTGCAGAAGCTTTGAGATTTGCCCACTTGAGCAGCATAGTTTTCCAGCGCTCTGCTGATTTCCTCTCTGTGTGGGAAGCATGGCAGCAGGTGGCATCAGATGTACAGTTGCTTTTGCTTGGTCTCTTGAGCGAGCCTGCGCCATCGTGTGCGTGAGAAATCGTGGAACGATTTGGCGATTGAGGAAATACAGCTCAGTTTTAGTTCAGAAACGTTGTTTGGTCTGGGGTTGTTTTTGGCTTAGGTTTGTTCAGAAATACGAGATTTGGTTGGAGAAGCTTCTCAGCAGAGCGCAGCACAGCACAGACCAGCTCTTTGGGCGGTGCACGCTATTCCCCCCCCCCCCAAACATGGCGCAGCTGCTTGGGCGGCGCACGCTCTTCCGCCCCCTCCCCGCCCACACCCGCCACAGCCCTGCAAATGACCATGGCGCAAGTGATCCTTTTTGATGGGCGTCAGTGACGCCTTTTAAGCAAAATGGGCGCAAGTGGGCGCAAGTGATCCCAATCGTGTGGGCGCAAGTGATCCCTCCACCCTTGTTTTGCGTGAGAAACTGAGGCACCACTAGCACCAGCACCAGCACTTCCAGCACCTCTAGCACCAGCAGCACTTCCACCAGCAGCTCAACCACCACAAGCTCAAGCTCCACCAGCTCTTCGACCACCACCACGGAGCCAGGGGTTGGGCGATTCCAGCACCTCTTCAAACATGTTTAATCATATCTTGTTTTAACAGCCTTTGTTTGGTTTCCCTTTGAAGGGGGCTAAGGTCTGGTTGTGCAAGAATATTTCGGCCCTCCAGCGCCTTTGCCAAAAATTCGAAGATCAAAAGTCGCAATTGTGGCTTTCCTTTGTTTTCAATTAAGCGAAAGGATTCTGTCACGCAGCTAGTTAGAAGCATTCACTCTCTGCATCGCCTTGACACATGGTTTTTCGATTGATGTGCCACCATCCAAACGTGGGCGAGCAGCTTGTCGCTCCGAGGGGTCTGACACCTTTGGCCGCGAGAGCAATCTGGGGCAGCTGCAACACTCGGGCAACAGAACTGGACATGTCGCACATGAAAGTGCACTGGCTGCTCCAAATATGTTCTTACTTGTTGCCAGATGCGGCTATGCTCAATCAACAGTCAAGTACAGCAGGCACTTTCGAAATTAGGAAGCTTTAGGTGGGAAACATTTTACTTGCACGGTAACCCAGCTGCGCTGTGTGTCTTCGAGATCGCAGAGCGAGGCATCCCCAGCATCTCTGGCATCCTGCCAGCGTTCCAAGAATGGCCCTTTGTGAGTAGGGCATAGCGGGGATGCCTGCGAGCAAGCGCGCTGGGTTGGCGCGAAAGTGCGCACGCACGCACACATGGACGCACGCCAACTCGCCCGCCCGCACGCACTGAGCTGAGCAACCCGTGCAGTTTCGCCGCCGAAAGCAGATGTTGCTTCGAGTTGGATAGATTGACATTCATGATATATAATCAATATAAAGTGTGCACAAATATATTGCATTTGAATTTGTAACATATGTATATATATATATATATACGCGTGTACGTGGGTACATATATATACACTCCCAGGGTATTCACAGATTTGCAGGAGTCCTCCACTACTAGCTCCAGCACCAGCACGTCCACCACCAGCAGCTCAAGCACCAGTAGCTCAACCACCACAAGCTCAAGCACCACCAGCTCTTCGACCACCACCACGGAGCCAGGGGTTGGGCGATTCAAGCACCTCTTCAAACATGTTTACTCACCTCTTGTTTTAGCAGCCTCTGTTTGGTTTCCCTTTCAAGGGGGCAAGCATATGTCGGCCCTCCCAGTCGGTGCCTCTGCTAAAATGGGGCACTACTTTACATGCCAACCTTCAATAAGATATGATCCATAAATTCAGTACAAGTGCTGCTTGTGAGCAAAAGCAAAGATCGGTAGTGTGATCTGTACTTCCACTCGTAGACTGTCAGGCAGTAAAATTGACGACCGCCTGCTTCCGTCGTGTTTCTCGTGTTTCTCTGCAAACAAGCTTGAACCCCACAACGGGTTTCCCCCGACAAAAGTTGGGCATTCGCGGGAAGAAGCTTTCCAGAAATCGACTGGGAGGTTCAAAGGACACCAAGTGTTTTTGGAGTCATTCGAAAGTCAATGGGCGCATTGCGGCTTTCCTTTGTTTTCAAGGAAGCCAACGGATTCTGTCACTCAGTTAGCATTCACTCTCCATCATCTTGACACATGGTTTCTCCTGGGGCGAGCGGACTGACACCTTCCAATGTTTGGGCTACGGGGCCAAAACGGAAACCTCATGCTTTTAGTCTACCTTGCAGTCAACAAATGAGACGTGTGTGGACACGTCGCCCAGCTGATTGCTGGCCAAGTGATGAGCTGCAAGCAGCCCGTCAGAAACTGAAGGCGAGTGACCCAGTTGGTTTGTTTGCCCAAATGTTTTTTTCACACAATCAGTACGCTATATGTCATGCAGCCGCTAGGCGTTGAAGCGACAGCTTCTGCCGCCGAAAGCATGTCTGCTTCGAATTGGATATATTTATATTTATGACATAGTCGGATCAGACGTGCGCACGCATATATGGCTGTATTTAGGTCATACAAGTTGTATCACATATATTCATACATATATATATATATAGACATATCCTGCTTACAGTTTTGGCTCCCAGGGTATGCACAGATTTGCAGGAGTCCTCCACTACCAGCTCCAGCACCAGCACATCTAGCACCAGCAGCTCAACCACCAGTAGCTCAACCACCACAAGCTCAAGCACCACCAGCTCTTCAACCACCACCACGGAGCCAGGGCTTGGGTGATTCAAGCACCTCTTCAAGCATGTTTACTCACCTCTTGTTTTAGCAGCCTCTGCTTGGTGTTTCTTTGAAGGGGGCTAAGGTCTGGTTGTGAAATTTCGGCCCGCCCTCTCCTCAAAAAGGGCACCACCTTGCCTTTCAATTTTCAGTCAGATATGGGCCCAAATCAATTTTCATGTTTCGGTTGTGGTGGCAAAACCAACTAGAGGTATGTACGATCTGTACTACCACTCTTAGACTGTCAGGTAGTGAAATTGATGACCGTTTGTCTTCCATTGTGTTTTTCTGCAAACAAGCTTGAACCCCACAACCGGTTTCCCCCGACAAGAGTTGGGCATTTACGGGAAGAAGCTTTCCAGAAATAGACTTGGAGGTTCAAAGGACACCAAGTGTTTTTGGAGTCATTCGAAAGTCAAAGGTCGCATTGCGGCTTTCCTTTGTTTTCAAGGAAGCCAAAGCATTCTGTCACGCAATTTACATTCACTCTCCATCATCTTGACACATGGTTTCTCCTGGGGCGAGCGGCCTGACACCTTCCAATGTTTGGGCTACCCGAAGGTAGACTTCAGCCCAGGGGCCAAAAGAGAACCCCCCCAAGTTTCAGTCTACCTGGAGTAGTCAAACATGGAACCGTGTGTGGACACGTCGCCGAGCTGATTGCTGGCCAAGTGATGAGCTGCAAAAAGAACTGGACATGTCGCAGATGAAAGTGCACTGTGTCATTTAGATATGTTCGTCCTTGGTGTCCGATGCAAATATGCCCAACCAACAGTCAAGTATAGCAGGCACATCAATTGAAGCTTGGGTTGAGAATCATTTTACTTGCATGGTAAAATCGAGTAACTTTGATGAAAGGCCATTGAATCGTGGCTTTGACCAGGCTTTTTTGCCCCAAAGCAAACAGACCGTCAGAAACTGAAGGCGGGGGACCCAGTTGGTTTGTTTGCCCAAATGTTTCCCTCGCACAATCAGTGCGCCACATGTCATGCAGGTTGTCTAGGCGTTGAAGCAACAGCTTCCGCCACCGAAAGCATGTCTGCTTCGAATTGGATATATTTATATTTATGACATAGTCGGATCAGACGTGCGCACGCATATATGGCTGTATTTAGGTCATACAAGTTGTATCACATATATTCATACATTTGTATATATAGACATATCCTGCTTACAGTTTTGGCTCCCAGGGTATGCACAGATTTGCAGGAGTCCTCCACTACCAGCTCCAGCACCAGCACATCTAGCACCAGCAGCTCAACCACCAGTAGCTCAACCACCACAAGCTCAAGCACGACCAGCTCTTCAACCACCACCACGGAGCCAGGGCTTGGGTGATTCAAGCACCTCTTCAAGCATGTTTACTCACCTCTTGTTTTAGCAGCCTCTGCTTGGTGTTTCTTTGAAGGGGGCTAAGGTCTGGTTGTGAAATTTCGGCCCGCCCTCTCCTCAAAAAGGGCACCACCTTGCCTTTCAATTTTCAGTCAGATATGGACCCAAATCAAATTTCATGTTTCGGTTGTGGTGGCAAAACCAACTAGAGGTATTTACGATCTGTACTACCACTCTTAGACTGTCAGGTAGTGAAATTGATGACCGTTTGTCTTCCATTGTGTTTTTCTGCAAACAAGCTTGAACCCCACAACCGGTTTCCCCCGACAAGAGTTGGGCATTTACGGGAAGAAGCTTTCCAGAAATAGACTTGGAGGTTCAAAGGACACCAAGTGTTTTTGGAGTCATTTGAAAGTCAAAGGTCGCATTGCGGCTTTCCTTTGTTTTCAAGGAAGCCAAAGCATTCTGTCACGCAATTTACATTCACTCTCCATCATCTTGACACATGGTTTCTCCTGGGGCGAGCGGCCTGACACCTTCCAATGTTTGGGCTACCCGAAGGTAGACTTCAGCCCAGGGGCCAAAAGAGAACCCCCCCAAGTTTCAGTCTACCTGGAGTAGTCAAACATGGAACCGTGTGTGGACACGTCGCCGAGCTGATTGCTGGCCAAGTGATGAGCTGCAAAAAGAACTGGACATGTCGCAGATGAAAGTGCACTGTGTCATTTAGATATGTTCGTCCTTGGTGTCCGATGCAAATATGCCCAACCAACAGTCAAGTATAGCAGGCACATCAATTGAAGCTTGGGTTGAGAATCATTTTACTTGCATGGTAAAATCGAGTAACTTTGATGAAAGGCCATTGAATCGTGGCTTTGACCAGGCTTTTTTGCCCCAAAGCAAACAGACCGTCAGAAACTGAAGGCGGGGGACCCAGTTGGTTTGTTTGCCCAAATGTTTCCCTCGCACAATCAGTGCGCCACATGTCATGCAGGTTGTCTAGGCGTTGAAGCAACAGCTTCCGCCACCGAAAGCATGTCCGCTTCGAATTGGATATATTTATATTTATGACATAGTCGGATCAGACGTGCGCACGCATATATGGCTGTATTTAGGTCATACAAGTTGTATCACATATATTCATACATATATATATATAGACATATCCTGCTTACAGTTTTGGCTCCCAGGGTATGCACAGATTTGCAGGAGTCCTCCACTACCAGCTCCAGCACCAGCACATCTAGCACCAGCAGCTCAACCACCAGTAGCTCAACCACCACAAGCTCAAGCACCACCAGCTCTTCAACCACCACCACGGAGCCAGGGCTTGGGTGATTCAAGCACCTCTTCAAGCATGTTTACTCACCTCTTGTTTTAGCAGCCTCTGCTTGGTGTTTCTTTGCAGGGGGCTAAGGTCTGGTTGTGAAATTTCGGCCCGCCCTCTCCTCAAAAAGGGCACCACCTTGCCTTTCAATTTTCAGTCAGATATGGACCCAAATCATAATTTCATGTTTCGGTTGTGGTGGCAAAACCAACTAGAGGTATTTACGATCTGTACTACCACTCTTAGACTGTCAGGTAGTGAAATTGATGACCGTTTGTCTTCCATTGTGTTTTTCTGCAAGAAAGCTTGAACCCCACAACCGGTTTCCCCCGACAAGAGTTGGGTATTTACGGGAAGAAGCTTTCCAGAAATAGACTTGGAGGTTCAACGGACACCAAGTGTTTTTGGAGTCATTCGAAAGTCAAAGGTCGCATTGCGGCTTTCCTTTGTTTTCAAGGAAGCCAAAGCATTCTGTCACGCAATTTACATTCACTCTCTCCATCACCTTGATACATGGTTTCTCCCGCCCAGCATGTCGCCCCCGAAGGGTCCAACGCCTTTATCTCCAAAACAGAACCTTCCGGGTTTTAGTCTACCTTGCAGTCAACAAATGAGACCGTGTGTGGACACATCGCCCAGCTGATTGCTGGCCAAGTGATGAGCTGCAAAAAGAACTGGACATGTCGCAGATGAAAGCGCACTGGGTGATTTATATATGTTCTTACTTGTTGCCCTATGCGGATATATCCAATCAACAGTCAAGCATAGCAGGCACATCATCTGAAGCTTGGGTTGAGAATCATTTTACTTGCATGGTAAAATCGAGTAACTTTGATGAAAGGCCATTGAATCGTGGCTTTGACCAGGCTTTTTTGCCCCAAAGCAAACAGCCCGTCAGAAACTGAAGGCGAGGGACCCAGTTGGTTTGTTTGCCCAAATGTTTCCCTCGCACAATCAGTGCGCCACATGTCATGCAGGTTGTCTAGGCGTTGAAGCAACAGCTTCCGCCACCGAAAGCATGTCTGCTTCGAATTGGATAGATGTATATTCATGACATAGTCGGATCAGACGTGCCCACACATATATGGATGTATATAGGTCATATAAGTTGTACCACATATATTCATATACATATATATATATATAGACATATCCTGCTTACAGTTTTGGCTCCCAGGGTATGCACAGATTTGCAGGAGTCCTCCACTACCAGCTCCAGCACCAGCATCACCAAGACAACGAGCACGTCCAGCTCCTCGGTCGCTAATGACCAGCCACGTTTTTAGGGTCCCTTGGTCTGTTTAGTACCGCGTAAGAAACCATGGAATGATGATCCCCCCAAAAAAATACAAACAAACAGTGGTTTCAACCACGGTTTCTTAGGTGCTGCAGGATTTCGTCCATCCACAGTATTGCAAGTAAGAAAACAACATCCCCCTAAAAACAAATGTTGTTGACCATGGTTGTGAGATCGAGCGTGGTTGGTTTGCTTGCATTTTGCAATATTTTTGGGATGCACAACACCTTCTGAGGATTGTCTTTTAGGCGTGTAACGGCGTCAAGTATTTCCTTGGGAGGTGTTGCACTTCCTGCTTGCAAAATGAACAAGCATGGTTGATCCTCGTGAACATATGCACACAGAGGTCATGCCCTGACTTAATTGCGGCAGACTCGCCTGGTGTTCAAGTCGTCATTTAGCCAGACCTATAAGTACATCGTTGCTGCACGACGTGCTTGTATTGCATTGAAGTGAAGCCCTGCTGGACGGCCAATTCAGGTCCTGCATTTGCTGAAAGGCGGCCATGTTTGCATTTTGTGCCATGTGTGAGGCCGTGGCAGTCTGGCTGGTTTTCTGGACCCATGGCTGCTTGTTTAGTTCAACATTGGTTTTCCAGTTGACCTGCCGTAACGTATACGTGGTGCAAGTCAGCTGCCCATTTTGGCCTAGCATAGCTCAGCTGGTGACTCGTCAAGATGAGCTTTCCCGCTTCCAGGCTCAGCGACCAGTACCAGTACCACAGTTGCTTGGCCGTTTCCCAAGGACACGGGTCCTTATCTATTTGGGGGTTTGTTGTTCTTGACGCCACCCTTTTACTGGTTGGTTTAAAGAGAAACCCGATCCCCCTGTTTGACACATACTCAACATATATATATATACATGCACAGACACTGGACAGAAGCAGGTGAGCTTGAAGTGAGCAACAGCTTAAAAGAGCCCTTCCCATCCCATAGGATCCTGCACAAATACACCTATAT